GACACTGGCTAACACGCCAATCATCCCCCCCAATGAAAAATATTTTTCTACGCCACTGTATCAAAAAAACATAAAACGACCATTATCGATACTTTTACAATATAGGCCTAATGATTGAGGACGGAATTAATATATCATGACATTGATGTACGCCTAATGTCTGATAATTCCATAGAATCTCAAATGCAAACACATTTTACATTTTAAAAATGTAAAATTAGGTTGTCTGGTATTATTATGAATTTTGATTTCGATTTCGATTTATTAATTTATATTCACTGTAAGATTAGAAATTTTAATGTTAGCCTATGCCGAAAACACTTTTGGCCCCGTCTAATCAGAAAAATGTATTTTGATGACGTCATGGAAAATACAAAAAGTTTCCCACAGAAGTTATTTTGTCCCAAACCTCCTTAAACATTTCAAAAATAATTGCAATATGAACTTGTTTTCGTATTACAATGAAACTGACATCGTCCAATCAGAAAACAGTACAAAAATGACGTCATATAGATTTGAAAATGCTTTTATTGAAATCTACGGGTATAAAAACCTTCAGATTCGCTTAGATTAGCTTCTGTAATGAGTAATTAATTTTGGCACACGTTGACTTCAGTCTGGCCCACTGTGCAACGGTTATTTCTCGTCAGTAGGAATATTCATAGTTGTGATTTGCGTCAAAAATTTCACGCTTGTAATTAGGCCTACAATCAGGTTGGCAATTGAACCGGGGACCTAAAAAGATGACAGTTCAGTGAACACACAGTGGCTACCACCAGTTAAACGGCCGACTGAGCTGCTCTGCTTATTACTGTAATAATACACATTAGAAATACTAAGTTAAGAATAAAGAAATAAAAACTTTACTAAAGGATAAATTCATCATCATAATGAGTGGCTATGGTAATAAATTAATAGGCCATGTTAGAAATTATTATAATAAATTCTCATAGTTCTACCTCGGGATACTAACATCATAATTTATGTTCGAATGAACTGGTATAAACGACATACCGGTAATCGATTCATTTGGGCGATCATTTCGGTAACAATTAATTTGGGTAATTTACTTTCATTTGGGTAATTACATATCATTTGGTTTTTCATTTGGGTAATTCCTTTCATTTGCCGGTAATTTACTTTCATCTGGGTAATTCAGTATCATTTGGGTTTTCATTTGGGTAATCAAATCCAATCTTATCTAGAAGTATTGAATTGGGGGGTGGGGGCGGTGCTGATTGGGTGGGGGCGAAGGTGAAGTGGGTGACTCGATGATCAGTTAAGGGGCGCTATTCGCAAAATATGAATTTAGGTGATTTTTAACTACTTTTTTGGGGTTGGAGGGGGTTGCGACTGAGGGGCGTGTGCCCTCCCCCCAACTAGATACGCCACTGATTTTGTGTCCAACGCGATGCGCGTTCCCTATCGTATAATAAATAGCGGCCTCATGTAGTTTAATTTAACTTACTCTCTTGCAGTTCAATTTCATGTAACTAAATAGGCCTATTCATAGATTTAAAAAAAATGATTTCACTACCGTACTTCATATTATATATATTTTTAAGCAGTTCTTGTCGATAGGTTGAGAGCCCCTCGATGGCAAGTATTCTTCACTTAGGCAATCCTGCTATAGACCCTTTGGCTCCTGTTGTTTTGGCGAAATAAATGATACCGGTGGTATATGACGATCATCATCTATGTTGTTCATGCTATTTTAAATTTTTGTGGGAATAAAACATTAAAATATCCCAGTATTTTTCTTGAATTTCACAGGCTTACAGCAAAGAGAAACAAAAAGTGATTTTCGAGATCATAATCAGATTTTAAATAGGCCTGGCCTATATTTTTATCGATATTGTGGTTTTACCAACTTAGATGACTACAGAGACAAAATGTGAGCCATATCTTTATGTTACTAAAGGTAATTTCTTCGCTATTATTATTGTTATTATTATTATTATTATTATTATTATTATTATTATTAATATTAGGTCTATTATTATTATTATTATTTAGGCCTATAATAATAAATATGGGCGGCATAATTTTCGTTCGCAAATTGATAAAAATTTATACGGTACACAAAATTATCACCGTCAGAAAATTATTGTTTAAAAAATAAAGGGCAATCTTTTGTCTCCTTAAATTTCAAATTCCAGATATTTTCTCTTGGGCAGATGAGAGTTCCCTGGACAGTATTTTTCCAACTTTCCACTTTTCAGGGGCGGATTTAGAGGGGGGGGGGATTTAGAGGGGGGCTTAACAGGCTTTAGCCCCCCTAAAATTTCATAGCCATTTCTTTTTAACTGCTTTTTGAAGGTCCAAATTAAAATATTGTTTAATGTTTTCTTCACACACATCATATTTATGGGCTAAACATTTTTAAGTAGTTGTTTTTCAGTGATAAAATAAAAATGAAATACGTTTTTTAACGATCAGCGGACAAAAACGTAGCTAAGAAAGCTGCTTTTGCCTTGCCTTCATGCGCAAATCTCGAAGCAAAGGTCGTTGTGTAGCGGTCTTAACGTTTGTATAATACACTAAACTTTTCGTGTCGCGCGGGTTTGTTCTTGTCTAGTCTTTCCTTGATTGCTTGCGGTCAGAGGTATTTGAATGTTTGTAAATAAACTAATAAACTAACATTTTCGTGTCGAGCGATTCGTTCTTGTCTAGTCTTGTCTTGATTGCTTGTGGTCAGAACATGGGCGTCGATTGGTGGGGACAGGGGGACGCGTTCCCCCCCCCCACAAGTGGTGGGGGAGGGGACATGATATCGATTGCCCACTTTTCACCAATCTTCTATAATTAAAACCCCACTTTTACAAGCGAATGGAAATAATAACATTTACGCATGACTCATGAATTTTGTCTGTTCACTTTTCTAAGTGCGGCACTTATTTTCCGGACCAAAACCAAGTAAAAACGCAATTGTTTAAACATTTTGTAACCATCTCAGATAGCCACTAGATCGATTTTATGGGTGCAACGACTATCAGAGGCTAAATTTATTGTGAAAACAATGTACTGAAGGTTGTTGAAATTGGAAGCAGGTATCCTTATTAGGCCAATATTTTTACAAACTCAAAAGTGCAAAATTTCTAATATAAACGATTTATTATTTTTGTATATTATTATGACCCGTACGTATACTAGTGTTTAATATTATCTACATACATAGGATTACTGTTTCTAATTTTTACGTATATGATGTCTCCCTATTTCGATTAAGTGATAAGCCTACCAAAAGTTTACAAACTCCAGTGTTACGTTGACGCAGTCTCGCAATGACGCCATAATAATCAGTGACAGATTCAAGTGGGGCCGAGCCGGCCCTAAGTTTTTCAAAATTATTTTTTAAAAATGGAAAAAAAACAAAGGACTCTCCTGTGTTGGAACCCATTATTATTTCTTTATACAAGTATATATATATCAGGGGCGGATTTAGGGGGGGGGCGGCCCGGCCCCCTCCCCCACCCTTTTGGGAGGTAAAAAAAGAAAAGAAGAAAGAGAAAGAAAAAAAATGATAGCCCACAACGCCTAAAATGTTATTTTCGGGCGTCTAGAACACAAAAATTTCGCAGGGGCATGCCCGGACCCCCTAGGACATTGTTTTCTCGATCGGCCCAAATTTCGGCCCCCCTTTTGGACATCTCTGGATCCGCCCATAAGCGGAGGTAATAAAAAGTAAATAACATTTAGGAAAGGGTTGTCAGCCAGGCATACAAGTATCTGAGGATTCATCAAATTTATGTATTCTTTCATCTCCTATCTAAAAACATTATTATTTTTTATATAAAGGCCCTATAGCACCCCCCCCCCCCCCACCAAAACTTCTGGATCCGCCCCTGTTTTTGTAGGCCTATTTGTCTAGTCCTACGTCCTACGTAGGTTACTTCTTTTTTTCTTTTTCTGATACTTGAATTTGCACCTCGTTTTCACCTGCTTGAACTCCGATTCCGCTGTTCAGCGATCGCTCCGATAGTGATGTGAATATGCATGCGCGTGAACCGACCCTTTGGGTTCGCCCAAATAAATTCGCCTCAGAGTGGCCACGGAAAACAGGCTTTATATAATTGTTTTCATTTAAAAAGCACCCTTTGAATTTTCCAAATTTCCGTAAAAACCCCTCAATTGTCTTATTTCCATAAGCGCTCCCTCAATTTCAACTCTGTTAAAATAAACAAAAAGTACAAAAAATATTTTAAACGCCCGGGCACTTATTTGCGCGAGTACGGTACCTAAATTTGCCAAAATTATGCCTAGCACATACTGTAATTTAATATGTAACCAGATGCGGGGCTAGATGTTAATAAAAGATGTATAAAGGTGCCTACTGTAAAAATGCAATGCAAATGGTAAAGTAGGCCAATTTCTTGTAGTAAATTTTAGTTGAACTTATATGGAGCTAAAACGGTATAGCTTGACACACTAAGCACTTTTTTCAAGTTTGATGGCAGTATGCCATGATTGATCTCTTGAACTTCTTAGCCTACAGCAGCTGTCATAAGCTTTTCGAGTACATGTTTTACTCAACAACAAAGCCAGAGCAGCCACCACCGAGCCGTGCGCGATACAGTAGTGTCACCCATGACGTCAGTAAAAATAAAGAAGCAGATTGACCTGACCGGTGGGGGTGTATTATTGTATTGTCTCTCACACAACGATTCCGACAAAATTCCATGATAATTTTTTTCAAAAATTGCCCATTGGGCGCTCAAGCTGAAGTAGTCAGATAAAGTACATTCTTTGAAGCAATTCTGGCCTCTTCATCCGATTCAGAGAACGGTGGTTTGTCTCCGCCACCGCCGAAAAAACAACGCCTGTCTGCTACTGCTGCAGTCATGCAAACCAATGGTTCGGCCCCGAGCTTTGAAAATGGAGACACTGCTGCTCCGTTGATGGTTAGCCTTAATGGAGCTGCAAGCTCGGCCAGCAGTAATGGATCCGTTGCCTTCGTACCTGAAGATGCTCCCCGAAATCCAACTACGATTAATCTTAGCCAAGGTGATAAAGACATTATTCGTCTAATTGGGCAACACCTAAAAGATCTAGGACTTCAGTAAGTGTTAGATTTTACAAATCGGAAGTATAGGATAGTGCCTAGGCCCTAGGCCAGCCTAGATAGGCCTAGGCCTAATGAATCATAAATGTTATTATTGAGTGAGTAGGCCCATAGTTAGCTAGCTTGATGATGAAGCTAGCACCACTATTTAGTCTAGTCTAAGTCTACGATGATAATATAGTGTAGCTATCTAGGCCTAGGTACAGTGGTAGTGAGCTGCTGTAGATAGGCCTAGAGGCCATTTTCAGTGTTCTTTTGTTTACAATCATTCACAATGCATAAGAGCTGGCTCTAATGAACTTTCACACCTGACTTTTAATTCTTATTTTTTTTTACCTCAATGCTTTTCCCATAGTAATAACAAATCTTGAAATATCATAAAACATTTTTACATGATTCAACCACTCACAAAGTACCTTTTTCAACATAAAAATACAGTTATAAATACAATGTTTTGTGAGCTCACTAGCACGATGATCTGCTGCCATTTTGCAATCAGTTATTAATTATTATTCTGGCCATTTATTAATGGCCAGAATTATTTATTTATTTATTAATAATTATAATTATTAATAATAATAATAATTATAATTAGATACAATGTAATGGTAATTAGATAAAATGTACAGTTAATTTTATTTTAAAAACCAAACAGGCAACATCCAATGAATATTGTAGAATAACGTTCATTTTATATTGTTAATAAATGTATTAAATTTTCTCTTTTCCTCACATTTCATTTATGTTTGGTATTCTAAAAGAAGTGTATTGCAGGGATGGGCATAAAAATAGGACGAAGGGCCACAGTATATTTTGTATTTAACACAGAGGGCTGCACCTAATTTTCTTTTAGAACTAGAGTACATACATGGTATACCACAAGCATTTATTTATTTTTTTTTTCATTTTAATTGTTACATCATAAATTCAATAAATAACAACTAGATTTGAACTCGTCACTGAAGACGAGTTAGGTGATCCGCCGTACTTTGACCTCATGAAGGACGCACGGTTCTGATTGAAAAGTATTATATGCTAAAACATGCTCTATTTAAAGAGTAATTTTGAGCATTTTTTTAAAATGAATTTTAAAGGAAAAGAGTAATTTTGAGCATTTTAAGGACTTACGAATGTGTACACATACGTCTTAACATCCGTGCGCACGGTAGTATTAATACAGTGTCAGAAACCCAACACATGTAACCGAAACGTAATTTCCAGCTTCAGTACGTGCTGTGGGCGTGGAAATGAGCGTACGGCGCGTAAATTTTGGAAAGTTTCGGAATATTCAAAATGACCTGAAACATGCTTTAAATTATCTGAAAAGTGATATTAACAATTTTAAAATTTTAACGCACAAGTACAAATACCTTATACGACGTGCCTGACGACGGTAATGGCACATGAATTCAAGTTTAATTTAAAACCCCCTGTTGGTTGGTAATGCCACACAAATTTTGCCTTTACAGTATATGAACTATCGGTCTGATAGTGTCGAAATACAGTCTGCCGCCCTCTATTTTCAATGTGTTTACATCTTTTAATAAAGAAAGATGAGAAGGCTCCAAAAAAGCATTCTTTTTGACCATGATGACGTCATCAAAATAAAATATAAAAAAGACACGTCCGAAAGAGAATTGATTTAGCTATAATATACTCACAGGTGGGAGACAATCAATCAAGATAAGCGAGTACGTTCAAACGAGTATAAAAAGTAATAACGTCATAAATAAAAATTCAATTTTTTTTA